CAATAAATATTTTCAGGATAATTATTCTCATGAGCTTGCCTTTTTGTAGGTACCTTCAAAAACAAAGTGATACCTAAAGTTTAAAAAAATGAAAAAATCTTTCTTGATGCTTTTATTTTAGTTTTAAACCCAATATTTAAAATAAGCAAAATGCTTTACGGTTTTTCAAACCCAATTTAAATTAATTGGATTTTTTTTTCTTTTTATAGTTTACTGATAAAAAGAAAAAATAATTCCAAATATAAACTAAAATCGTCCATATCGACAAATACGTCAACACAATATAATTCTCTTTATTAAAAAAAACGAAATGTGAAAAATTAGCTTATTTAAAGTTTAGTTAATCTGAATAGAAACAAATATTATTTAAAATATAGCGGAAAAGCATTTTTAACACGGAGGTGGGTTTTTTTATGAGGTGTTGACACATTTACCAACAGTCTGTTGTTTGAGAAATTTATCTAAGGAGAAGATACTCACAATTACATGGCGAATACAACGTAAACGCCTAAAATTTAAAATATTTTAAGCGTTCTAATATTTTATTGAAATTTAGGTACTTTGGCTTTATAGCCTTACTTACGAACAATGCTTGTTGATATTAAATAATTACCAATAAATTTACTATAGTTACCATTCTTATTTTCTGATAATGTCGAGTATGGACGTCCATATTTACCGAAATAGGCACGTTCCTACTCATACTAAAAGAAATTCAAAATTCTTTTTAAAGTACTGGGGATCGGTGAAATGTAGTAAACTTTTCCATTTATGATTAGTAAAGTACAGTTTTTATTTAAGTATCACCTGACAGCTACAAATTAATAGAGAATTTTAAGATTTAAACTTTATAAATTATTTTACTTAAAATTAAAAAAATTAAATTATTGTAAAAAGTTCAATATTCATCGAAAAAATTTTTTTTTCGCAAGAGAATAGTGTTCATAATATATTTTTTATTCATAAAAAGGAATAAAAGGCTTTTCTAATTAAATAATGCCTTAGTTTTGTTGCATTTTATATTTTACGATTCAGAGCAGATTTTCCGTAACTGTGGGTCCTGTTTGAACCAAACAATTGAATATTTAAATTCTCCGTGGACTTGTTTTTATAACTAATATAAACATTAAACTATACAATAAAGAATTTCTCAAAATTTCAAAAAAAGTAAATAAGTTTGCGTGTGTGGTAGTGGTGGGGGGTTAACAGATATTTTTTTTAAATTCTAAAAAAGAACCATTTCTAAAAAAATTCCATTCATTTCTGAATAAGTTCTGAAAGTTTCATTAAAATCCGGCAATTATTTGATTTTTGCTAGAATTTTTAAATCAATGTGTTTTTTACACTAAAAAGACGCTCAAATTTCCCATACAAATTGATGGTTCCAAGCCGACGTCAGAAAAACAAATTTTTAAACGTTCTAAAAAGGATTAAAAAGAAATAATTTTTACATTAAAAATTCATTCAATATCTGTCTATATTTCTGAAATGAGGTATTATGTACATTGTTTACATTATTCGAACTATCGTCCTCATCTTTGTCGCCATATTTATCACAACGTTTTGGCCATTGTACGCTCCGGCCTTCTTCAATGATGAGGACAATAGTCCGAATAATGTAAATAGTGTAAAAATTCTTTGATCTTTCCTCTTAATAACATAAAATTTTGCCGACATTTTTTTCATCGTGCATGATCATTTGTTGGAATCTTTCGGGGTACATAACTATTGCGTAACTTTTCATAGATAATATTCGTCCTCAGACAGGAATCGAAACTGTATCCTATACGGAACCGTTATTTAGCCTGACGTGTCTGAACCGATTGAGCCACGGAGGATCGTTCGATTAGCAAGATCGATTTTACTGCTTTTAAACTACAATCTTCCATGAATCTGTGGCTCAATCTGTTACGGCACGTCAGCCTATATGACGGTTCCGTATAGGATACATGTTCGATTCCTGTCGGAGGACGAATATTTTCTGTGAAAATTTCTCGGACATTCAGGCCGGTAAATGTTATGAATACTGTTTATTATAAAACAGAGCATTTACATAAATATTTGTATCTATAAAAAGAATGTATAAACATAAAAATGTCTTAAAATAATTGTCGGATTTTGTCCATTTCATAATTAATATATATATATATATATATATATATATATATATATATAAACACAACCTCAAATGCAGGCCTAGTGTTTACAAAATGTAGATAAGAAGTTGTGATATCCTAGTCTTGGTGAAAAATTGTTCCTGCTGTGTTTATAGGGATTGACCAATAGCAATAAGACTCAACAGAAGAAATTGAATTCTGTCATAGGATAGGCTTTGAAAACCAACAAGAAAGAAAACTATTAGTGGACAGGAATTAATACAAATGTTACTGACAGAATAATCTTCAGAAAAAACTGTTTGTAAATTTTCCGTCCTCCTAAATTTTGTACATAAAAGGTTTCTTGCAGGTTTCTGCTCAAACATTAATATATCTGAATTCTTATTATCTAGCTAGACATTACTGAGGGGAGAGAGTTGATGAGGGGAGTTGGTGGAAGACAAATAATATACTGAGGGGAGTCTAACAAACGCAGAAGGTATTTCAAATAAATTTATAAATGCTTCTGATTTCTTATTATCTGGCTAGACATTACTGAGGGGAGAGAGTTGATGAGGGGAGTTGGTGGAAGACAAATAATATACTGAGGGGAGTCTAACAAACGCAGGAGGTATTTCAAATAAATTTATAAATGCTTCTGATTTCTTATTATCTGGCTAGACATTACTGAGGGGAGAGAGTTGATGAGGGGAGTTGGTGGAAGACAAATAATATACTAAGGGGAGTCTAACAAACGCAGAAGGTATTTCAAATAAATTTATAAATGCTTCTGATTTCTTATTATCTGGCTAGACATTACTGAGGGGGGAGAGTTGATGAGGGGTGTTGGCCGAAGAAAATAATATACTGAGGGGAGACAAACAAAAGCAGGATGTATTTGTGTAGGCTCATGAGTAACTAAACCAATTGCAATATCTCCAGTTTAACATGTTAGTACAGTAGTAGTGACTAACTTTGGTCAGTTTCATTTGCGATATATTTATTTGTGAGTATATATCAGTAACGGACTGGGTCTAAAAATATTGATTGCCAGGAGACAAAGGCGACCCACAATTGCAATGCTATCATCTAATTTTCATAACGAATCAATAAAATTTTTAAAAATATGCTTATGAAAAAAAAAAAAAGCCTACAATTAAAATTTTTAAGGAAAAATGTGTATTCCTTAGTAATTACAGTGTGAATTTACTGTATATATTACTGTCAGTAGATGCCAAATGTTAATACAGAACGTTACAATTTAATTATTTATTTATTTTTTTAAAGAAATTTACCCCAAGCAAAGTGGGAGTGCCACTAGCACGCAAGGGGTTACAGAGGATTGAGAACAAGAGTAACGAGGCATGTTCGAGGAAAGGATGCAAAGAAAGACGGCGAACACGCTCAAGGTATCAAATGTCGATTGACATTAAACTTGAATATTTAAAGATTATAGTCATCAGGGAAGCAAGTAAGGAGAAGAGAGTTTCACAGACGGGAAGTGTGAGAAAAGAAGTTGTTTGAGTAGAAGAGACGGTTGCATTTAGCCGTTTTGACAGTGAAAGGGTGGAACCGAGATGCCAGTCTGGTAGCTCGCTTAAATTCATGCAGTCCGGGAACCAGCGAAAGTAGCTCGTCGGAACAGTTACCGTGAAAATACTTGTAGAAGCGACAGAAGGAGGCCACAGCGATTGTAGACTAGATGCCAGATCAGGACCTATCATCTTGCATATTCGTTTCTTGTTTTTATCAAGGACCTTGAGACATACAGCGGGAGCACCAGACCATATATGATAGCAATATTCCATACAAGGATTTGAAGGATGGACTCAGACGAGAAAAACTTTCTGGCACAACACAGAGAGCTAACTTTCCTTGCGGTAGATGAAGCTATTGATTAAATGTATTTGTTCCATTTCATGTCAGCGGTCAGCGTGAGACCAAGAAGGTGTAACGAGGCGCTCGCAAGGAGTTGGGAATCAGACATTCTGATGGGAGGCAGGGAGGGTTCTTATTTATTTATTTTTTTTAATTTTAATTAATTGGTTGATATTTTTAAATAGTTTACCGCACAATTTATTCATTAACAGGTAGTTCAAAAGCACAAATCGAATATTGCAATCATTTTGGTTGTGATTGGTTGGTATTTGACGTGCCGCTAACAGAAATTGAATGTCGGTGGACCGCAATGAAGCAAAACGAAGACTTCATTAGAAAATGAATGACCAATGTTTATTGATGCACGTAGGTAGAAGAGGCGGGGGTTTCGAGAATGATCGACCTCGAGTCAGCCCGACGCCGAGTGAGGGCGACGAATCTGCCCCTCGCTGGGACGGTTATCAAACACGTCCGAACTTAATGGTTGGGAAGTGAGACGAGAACGATCATCTCCTTTCCGGAAGTAGGCTCATAATATTCACATGTGACCGGAAACCATTTTTTGTTTCCTTTTGCATCATGGGAAAATTAAATTCTTATTTTTATTTATTATTTTATTTATTAGTTTCTTTTCATTCTCCCATAGTGTTCACTAGATTATTGTACAAATCTGCCAATAATTGTTTCTGCATCCAATTCATCTAACAATTCGTTTTAGTATCTCTTGAAAACTGGGTTCCCGCTGAGTTTCGGGGACCGGAAAAGCTTGCATGGTGGTCAAAGGCGATTTGCATATTAAAATTCGGGAACGGTGCCTAAAGATGGTTTAGTTCCGCCTCTCTCTGTATAAGCTGCCCGCACGCTTGAGTTAGCCAGATCGCAGATCGGAACGCGGCAGAATGCAGAAGAGACGGCTTGTTGGAATTTGCTGGTCTGGTCTGTTGGTTGTCCTGCGTCAAGAAGACCGATCCGAACCAAGAGATAGAAATAGAACCCGTACGAATCCAGATAACTTCGTCAACAAAGATGCGAGAAAGCAGACTGCTATATCGTAGGGTGCAGACGAAGATCCACGAATTATTTCCCTTAGATCATCCGAAATTGTTTAGGCAGAAATTTTCCTACTCTCTCTCTGTCACTTCCGACCCCAAACGAGTGAACCCCGTTACGACATTTTGTACTCGTGTAAATTTTTCGATAGTGACATAAAAACAGTGGCCTAAAAAGGGCTCTTTGTACAGGAACCGAAAGAGTTGCTTATTTTTTCTTTTTCATGTCTTTGCGGCTACGGCAAGAAATTTTTTTTTTGCATGAATAGTGAGTTCCTTTCAGCATAATACCCAGCCATTTAATTCATCCTACCTCCGGATCGTTCTGAGGGATCGAAATACCGCTGTTCGGATCAAAATTCCACAACGTGGCGGATAGTGGTGGTTCGTTCAGTTCACCGGGGGAGGACCGGGTGGTTTACTTTTCGGCCAGAACCACCAGAGAGACAGGACAGAGCTGCAACAGGCAGGGTTTATTATGTTAGATTTATAAGAAGAGTTGAAATTAATGTATGCAAGATTTCAAAGCTTTAGCACCATTCCTTCATATACAGTTTATGAAGTTTTCAGTCCAAACTCGAAGATTTTATTATTTTATACAGTGTCGAACTGGGTCTAAAAATATTGATTGTCGGGATACAAAAGGGCCCAAAAATAAGTACAATACTATCATTTAATTTTCATAAGGTCATAAAATTTTCAAAAAATACATATGGAAAAAAGGATATAATTTAATTTTTGTCGAAAAAAATGTGTATTTCTTAGTAAATAACGTGTTCATTTACTGTATATATTATTGGTAGTAGATACCAAATGTAAATACAAAATGTTATAATTTTTAATTGTTTTTTTAAATTTTAAGTAATTAATTGATATTTTTAAATATTTGACTGCACAATCTGCGTATTAATAGATAGTTCAAAAGCACAACACTACATTGTATGCAGTCCACTATATTAAGAGCAATCATTGGTGTTCACTAAATGATTGTTCTAATGTGCCAATAATTATTTCTGCAGACAATTCATCTAACAATTCCTTTTCAATTGATAGCAACATGTATGATTCCAAATTCTCCTCAGGCAACGAATTCCTTAACCTTGTCTTGATGATCTTCAGTTTTGAAAATTTCCTTTCACATTGGACTTGAGTAACTTTATGTAGATGATTTTATAAAGTTCATATTCCTTTTTATTACTAAAACATTTGTCTATGTTTGTTTCTTTTTTTCATTTTTAGTTGATATATCGAGCCCAGTCCATCAGAGGCCCACTTGCTATCCAGCAAGTTGACACCTTGACCAGTCCATCATTGTACTTACATAATGTTGCATTTTACGTAAATTTTAATTAATTGGTTCATATATTTAAATAGTTTACTGCACAATTTACACATCAGCAGATAGTTCAAAAGCACAATAGAGCATTGCATGGAGTCCGCTATATAAACAGAGCAATTGTTTGTGTTCACTAAATGATTGTTCTAATGTGCCAATAATGGCTTCTGCATTGAATTCATTCATCTAACATTTTCTTTTCAATGGATAGCAATATGTATGATTCCAAATTCTCCCCTGACAACGAATTTCTTAACTTTGTCTTTATGATTTTTAGCTTTGAAAATGTCCGTTCACATTGCACTAGAGGAACTGATAGTGGACAGATGACTTTTTAGTGTACCTTACACTTTTTGAGTAAGTTCGCGTCTACTTATCATCTCTCAGTTGCGTCTCTGTCTTTGGACAGAGTGCGCTCAGGGTCTTCTCTGTCAAAGGACAGAGGGGCAATTAAGGAAAATGATACTGAAGAGGTGCCCAGCCCTGGGGAACAGCTACCCGAGGCTACATCAGAGGGGGGGATCGGTGCTCGCACCGAGGACAGAAAAACCGGTGATTGCGGGGTCTGAGGGGAATTTTTGTTCCTATCCCGGGCGTACGCGCTCGGATCCCTGCCTAAAAATAGACCTTGTGTAACATCTCGTCCAAGTTCGGGTGGGGGGCTCTGGCAGAGTTGATACCGTGCGTAGATGACTTTATAAATTTATTATTCCTTTTTATTACTAAAACAGTACCCTGTGTTTTACTTTTCTTTATGACATTTTTATTTCATATAGGCGGTGGACACTACATCAGCGTTTCACGGGTAAACGGACACTCTGGACAATCCGCCACTGTGGCTATTATTCCATTTTGATGCAATATTTTGCAGACTAGTTTCCAACTTTACTGTGAGATCGACCCACACTGGGTGCCTCATATTTGTGGCAAGTCACTTACACTAAAACTGAACTAAGTAAACATTTAAATATATATATATATATATATATATATATATATATATATTTGTTTGAATAATGGACAGACCACGTTAAGATTCCATGTAATAAGCTATTTCACCATAACCCCTTTAACAGGGTTCTGGATATCATCCTCCTCAGGTCTACCCATACGGATTACCTAAGTTTGCATAATATATATATATATATATATATATATATATATATATATATATATATATATATATATATATATATATATATATTATATTTTTTGGTATAATGGTTAGTAAACTGGACTGTAAATCAATTTTGATCCTCACTGGGTAAGGATTAATTTTAAAGCTAAACTCTCTCTTTAAACGTCATATCTCTTAAAAATATAGGTGATCATGACCCTCTACATTATTTTTAAAACGTTTATTTCTATGGATATTCTTTGGAAACGTGTAAAGTGTTTTTTTTTGTTTTTTTTTTTTGCTCTGCAATTTTAAATTCACAGTTGTCTTTCTCCTAGATTGGTTGCCAACAAAGGCGAGATAGTCTCATCTAATCTGGAATTTAATCCATAATTTGGCGAAGTGGAATTGGTGTCGACAGTTGCTGTTTGAACTCGGCAACATCGGCTCCGGTATCTATTAGTCCATCCACGCTTCCATATCTAAGTTACATTTAGTAAATAACTGGCCGCTTCAGCACGATGTTTAACGAGCTATTCTAGTTAACCATTACCAATGTTGGGTGAGTTCGATCCTCAACAGTTGCCCAAACGCGTGGCCTTGCGTGTAAGTAAGCCAAATTTAGTAAAAGACAACTTCAGCACCTCGGCCTGGGGTAATGGTTAACTACTACAAATGTGCAGTGAGTTCAATCCTCACTGGGTGCCCCATAACTGTGATCTTACGTGAAATACGGCTAAAATTAGTGAGAAAAAAACAATTTGGTCTCTTTTGCCCAGATTAATGGGTAACGAACTTTAATGGCATTTACTAATAAGTGGTGAGTTCGATCCTCACTGGGTACCCCATTAATTGTAGCCTTGTACTCAACAAATTAAAAGTAATTTAATTAATATTAATTATCTAAATTTATTAAGTAAAATTATTAAAGTTAATTGTAATTAACAATAATGTATAGTGAGTACAATTCTCACTAGGTGCCTCATACTTGTGAGAAATTCAGCTGAAATTAGTAAAATACTATTCGGTCTATATATCTGAGATGAGGCATTTTAACTATTTACATCGTTCGGACTGTTGTCCTTATCTTTATTCATAGTCACGACGTTTCGGCCGTTGTACGCTCCGGCCTTCTTCAGGTGATACACGTTGGAATTTCAAACTGAACCCTTTATTTAGTCCACGGGGATAGATTGTTCTCGTTTCATGTGCCACACCTTTTCCGGATATCTCAGTTTGAATTATTTCCCTTTAATAACTCAACACTCCAAGTTTTTGTTGACCTCTGCTGTGGCCAGGTATTGAACTCACAACTCTTTGGGTCAAGTCATTGGATTATTTCAGTCAACACAGTATCTATCTATCTATCTATCTATCTATCTATCTAGACTCTTTAATGTCGAGTGCGTTATTCTAGCTGGGTAATAATGAGTAATGAGTTCGATTCTCATTGGGTACCTCTACACTTGAATCCAACAAATTAAATGTAGTGATATTATTATAGTGAACTTGATCGTTACAGGACACTCTGTACTTACAAGCTTTTGTCAGGATAAGGCAACGTTAAATGTCCGTGTTCAACCCGTTTCTCTTCTATATTAGTAACGTTTCGTCTCGCCTTAGATTCTATTATCTGCTTCGTGTTTTGATTCGTTCTTCTTTGCTTCAGTGAAGTTTTCGTATCGCCTGCATGCCATTCATTTCAGAAGTTTCGATAGCAAAGATCCTTTGGGGTATATTTAACGAACGAAGCCAGCTGTTCGTACCAAAGCTGGAAATATGGAAGAGTACCAAAGCGTCTGGACATTTTTTTTCACAACAGAAGAAATATGTGGGAAAAGAGAATAAATTCCTTCCATAAGTCCTGTCTATAATAATAATAATAATAACGATGACGATGATGATTATTATTATTATTAGTAGTAGTAGTAGTAGTAGTATCCGTGAAGATTTCACGGCTTTCATGTTTGAATTTTATTTCACGATCAAAACGGAACAATCCATTATCTATGAAGTATAGTTTGGAAGTGTCGTTCTTTCTTTCTTTTTATTTTCTTTCTTTCTTTCTTTCTTTCTTTATTTATTTATTTCTCCCTTTCTTTCTTTCTTTCTTTCTTTCTTTCTTTTCTTTTCTTTCTTTCTTTCTTTCTTTCTTTCTTTCTTTTCTTTCTTCTTCTCACGGAACAGTCCATTATCTATGAAATATTGGCAGGACTTGCCTTTCTTTCTTTCTTTCTTTTTTTCTTTCTTTCTTTCTTTCTTTCTTTCTTTCTTTCTTTCTTTCTTTCATTCTTTTCTTTTTTTTCTTCTTCTCACGGAACAGTCCATTATCTATGAATTATTGGTAGGACTTGTCTTTCTTTCTTTCTTTCTTTCTTTCTTTCTTTCTTTCTTTCTTTCTTCTTCTCACGGAACAGTCCATTATCTATGAAGTATTGGCAGGACTTGCCTTTCTTTCTTTCTTTATTTCTCTCTCTCTTTCTTTCTTTCTTTCTTTCTTTCTTTCTTTCTTCTCACGGAACAGTCCATTATCTATGAAGTATTGGCAGGACTTGCCTTTCTTTCTTTCTTTATTTATTTATTTATTTCTTTTCTTTCTTTCTTTCTTCTTCTCACGGAACAGTCCATTATCTATGAAGTATTGGCAGGACTTGCCTTTCTTTCTTTCTTTCTTTCTTTCTTTCTTTCTTTCTTTCTTTCTTTCTTTTCTTTCTTTTTTATTTATTTCTCTCTTTCTCTCTTTCTTTCTTCCTTTCTTTCTTTCTTTCTTTCTTTTTTTCTTTCTTTCTTTCTTTTTTTCTTTCTTTCTTTCTTTCTTTCTTTCACTGGGATCAAACAAACATGTCTTTTCCGTCCTTTGAATCGATCAAAACGGAATAGTCCATTATTTATGAGGTAGTGACATGACGTAACTTACGTAGACGCTAAATAATTAAAGGAGGCCCAAGCGGAATTATATTAAGATAATAATGATAATAAAAGCCGTGACAGATAAAAAAAATCGTTCTTATTAAGCAGTGAGAACAATAAAACAATAATCAAGAAAACAATAGATAACAACTGACATGAAAAGCATGGAGTCGGGAAGGGCGAGAAGCGCGAGAAACGAAACTGTGAAGTGATGAAACCATACCGCCATTCTAGTCTTTCTTTTTATGTGCCATGTCCTTTCAGGACGTAGGCGATCATGGCTCTCTACCTCCCTCTATCTCTTGCAGCTCTCAAGAACTTCCTTCACCTCTACTTCCTCCCCCAGACCACGTTCTGTCATCCACTTGCTTAAGTCCGCCAGGTATGTCACGCGTTGTTTTCCCTTGTCTCTCTTTCCCTCTATTCGACCCGTGAGTATCAGATTCTCCAGGCCCTCCTTCCTCATTATGTGTCCCAGAAACTTCAGCTGCCTCTTCCTGATGTTAAGTATAAGCCTCCTTCTTGTTTGCATCCTATCTAAGATCTCATCGTTGCTCACGCGCTCGGTCCATGATATCCTTAGCATCCTTCTGTAGAACCACATCTCTGTCGCCTTGAGTCTCTTCTTCATCGTTGAGGAAATCGTCCAACATTCGCTGCCGTAAAGAAGGACAGATGTCACGTAACAGTTCCGTATTCTTTTCTTTGTCACCAAAGATATCCGCCTGTCTCGCATTACTCTGCCCAGCATTTGGAATGTGTCCTTGGCCATCCCAATACGCCTATGGATCTCGTACTGGGCTTAAATTCATAAAGTCTAGGTACCACAGAGTACTGTTAATAACAGACTGTAAGTGATTTTGGGGGTCAGCTACCAATCGAACTGATTGTTGAGATTGTAACGTGACTATTCTTGGGTAGTCTAAGACAGCGCAGAGTTGGTAGGTGTACGGTCTTCCTTTGCGCGCGCTCTTTATCCTAGACCTCACAACCCTGTCCAAAACCTCCTTATAGTCAGCAGCATTGATCCTTAAGCCCTGAGGAAAGGTGAGGATACATGCCATCTCTCTTTGCACACGACTCCCAGAACAATCACCTTTGCAGGAAACTTCGTGTCTATGGCCGTTGGTACTTCCTTGAGGTCTCTGCATAAGCATCTGTTATTTCTTCGGTTGACCTTTTCATCCTGATCAAAGTTTGAATCCAATGGAATTTTCTTGTTTCTTAATACTTTGCTTAGCTTTATAGTGCTATGGGGGCGTTGATAGACTTCCTTCTCGAATATTTCGTCGTAGTCCAATAATTCAGATCAGGAGAGCTCAGGGGCGACCTGATAATAAAGATTGTCACTGTTATAGGATCTTACCCATAATAGTAATAATGGACTATTCCATACTTAATAAATACTTCACTTCAGTCAGTAGGCGAGAGTCAGTAGTTAGAGTCGAGTCAGAGGCAGTCCGAAACAGAGTCGCGGTCAGACAATTACTACAAGACATTGGAATAATGATACTGGTCGAGACTACATTGTTCTCTCTACTAAACCTGATTGTGCGTACTAACACTTTCTACTTCTCTGTATATATTCCTGTTTGTAATATATCTGTGTTATCCCATATCCGTGTTCGAGTTCTTCTTTATTGCTTCTACCTTGGACTATCACCGTGGTACAAGGAACCGGGCCATAACAGTAACACAGCCATTCATGGGTCATCTAGGCCTTATGAGACAGTGCAGTCTTTATGGTAGGTGTACATTCATCCTTTATACACGCTATCTATCCATGGCCTCACAACCCTCTCCAGCGCCTTCTGATAGTCAAGAGCATTGATCCTGGACGTGAAGAGGCATGATATATCGCTCGTTGTTTACAACCAGAATCTTTAGCGTTGCTGGAAAATGTGTGCACGACCGTCGTGATCTTTTTAGGGCTTCTGCATAACCAACTGATATTTTCGTTTTGGTCCCGATCAAAGTTTTTTCTCAGAGAAAAACCAAAACATTCCATGCTCTTGATGTTTCAAATTGCTCAGCAAGCGCTTTGTTCGGGTCTAATGTTTATCTTTGTTTTTCTCCGCCGGCATAAATTGGTCTCTCCACGTCATGTATGACTTGTAGCGAAGGTCCCCATACACGAATCCTCCGATAAAATGCCTTGAAATCTTGATCTCCTAAGCAATGGCATTAAATAGCTTTCTAGGCTTTTTTTCGATAAGTATCTGCACTCTTCTTAAAACGTGGGTGTTTTGATGGTGTTAGGGTCCTTGGCATGTGTTTTACGTTTGTCTACTGTCAGCAGGCCAACTCTTTGCAAACTTTGAAAACAAACGACCGTTCAAGCGAGCAGTCTCTAAATAATTATGATCTGTCTTTAGTACAACGATTACAGTGTGCTTTTTCATTTGCTCGTTTAGCTTGATGTTTATCTGAAAAAATGGTGAAATCACAAGTTACAAAAAAAATATCTTAAAGCCGATAAAAGATGTGTCCTTAAAGAACTGAGCAACCTTGTGCTACCAAAAGCCCCTACATTGCCTAATAATCGACATAGTGTAAACTAACGAAGGAATTTAGATGCCTGATGTGTACTCCATTTGGAGATAAAAATATGATGCCACTTCTACCCTTCGTTATAAACGTCTCGCGAGATTAATCGAGAATTTCTTTTTATTGTAAAATAATAATAATTATTATTTTCTAGGTTGCACAAATCTTATTAAAAGAGATAGACGTGTCAAATATTAAAAAAAAATGCAGTACCCCACCACTTCCGGTAAGTAACTGTCTCCTCCTACTATCCTCTAACAAGATCCAGATCAGACCAAAAATTGAGTGCCGTTACCATATTTGCGTAGGGGCTGCCCAGACCCCAATCTCCAGTTTTGATATAATTCAAAAGCGTCTCCGAGGCCTTGTGAGTGATAAATTATTCTCTGCCCTTCAACCTCTCTCCCACAGGTGAGATTGTGTCAAGCCTTTCGCTGCTCTACCGCTAATTCCACGGAAAATGCTCGGACGAACTCCAATCCCTGGTCCCGCCAATCAAACATTCACGGCAAGAACACGCCATGTCACTTATATTGTAGCAAACCATCCACATTCCATCCGTATTTCATCGGTGAGAAATAATTTCCACTCCAGCGGCTTCTTCCCGAGAACTACTGCTCTGCGGGACCGATTCCCAAGAGGGGGTTTCCTCGATCACTACAATCTTAACCTGTTTAAGGCTAGGGTTAACTGTTATCTTCTATTCCTATACGTACAAATAGCCTCCTAACGTAACCTACTTCGAGTGGCCCCCTGTTTGCTAAGTCTTTTGAACCTTACTGTAAAAAAAAAAACTTCGCTGGGGACAAGATGATCAAATTCCAAATCTAAATTGTAGTACAGTAGAATCCCTGACAACCGGACTAAGAAGGCCTTCCGGATATGAGGAATTATTTACAAAGTTATGTGGGGTTATATTGAGATTAAAATAAAAGAACTGAAATCAGGTTTAATATTTATTTTTAATGTTTTATAATAAACAAAATAAGCTAATGGTGAATGAAATATAACAATTGATTTTAAGGAAAAAGAAATAAATTATGTAATGTTAATAAAAATTCATTAAATTAAGTATGCCACGTATGTAAAACAAATAATGTAACGAGGATTTTTTAATCTCTGTTGCATGATGATTCTTTCTCTTCTAATGTCATTCTCAACTTTTTACGCATTTCGTTTTGCTTTTGTTCTTGAATTTTTTTAAACGAAAGACATTTTTTTAACTCTGCTTGCGTTTTGCAATCTTTAGCTGAATGCTGGCTTTCTTTCCATAAAACTGACAACCTTTTCAATAGCTTTTTCAATATCAGTTCATGTTTCATCACAATTATATATATTTCCTTGTTCATTGCGACAGTGTGAACTCTGGAGATAGTTTCTTTTATAGCATACAATGTTGACTTTCCTAAGTTGAACTCGGCCATTAGTTACAATGAACATTCACTAGCGTCTGGTCTATTTAAAATTTCCACTTATTACGATAACTCCAAAGTTGTTCTTTTCCTCTTATTTTCATCATCTTTTGCACCAATACAAGCCATTACGGTGAAAGAAGCATAATCAGTTATCGAAAGTAAATTTTCTGAAAAAGAAATTTCAAATCAGTTACATATCACCCAAATAGCTCAAATATATACATCAAAATCATGTCCGGATATGCGGAATTCCGGATATGAGGCACTCTGGACAGGAGGATTCTACTGTATTTTAAATAGAGAAACGTTTATTAGCAGATATATTATGTTTGAATAAAAGAGCCATAAAAATGACTATAAAGTTTTCCCAGAGGTTAACTCTCACGACACCGACATTTCAACTGTGTGTATATGACCACAAAAACAGAATTTAAGTAAAAAGAGCACAAGTGGAATGAGAGGAAAAATCCAGCAACTCGACTAAGAATCCGCTTGGGTTTAAAACCCTAAAAAAATTAAATAATTCTATGATTATACGGAGGCACCGTGGTTCGTGTTGAGGAACCAGAGAACCGAGTTCGAATGGCACTCGAGTTCATTACATACACTTACGCGCTAAGGCCTTAGGAAAGGTATGAATCCGCCTGTTCTCCCCACCAGCTAAGGGTAAATAACAGGACTGACTGGGTCTTATAGCCTTGGAACACCTCTGAATTCAAAAACTGAGTTCCTAATCTATCCACATCATATTCCGTGGTCTTTGGCTGTCGCTCAAGAAATTGGGGAGGAGATGCATACCTTCAAACTGTCTGAAAAGATTATGTAGAAAAAAAAATCAACGTCTGTTTCTTCTGTATTTAACCCCCAACCTAGGACTGAAAACGGATTTTATTGAGCTTTACGGAAATTCTTTGGTAATAAATAAAGTGTTTTTAAGTTTTATTTTTAACTTTGTGCCGAGTGATCCACCCCTTTTTATACAAATGGACTCACCCAGTGTATACATATACTACTGCTACGGTAAGACGAGAGTAAGACGAGTCGAGTCCAGAGTGACAGAGTAAAAGGTTGTAGGTAACCGGAAGAGTCAGGGGTGAGGTAACACCGTTGTAGGAGTCACAGTGAGCGAGCACATAGACTCAGTAAGAAGTCATACAGCGACACTTCAATACCATATATAATACTATATATATATTTTGCTACTAACCTGTATTCCTGGAACTACTAACCTGCTTTACCAGTTTGTATTATTACGTTAATACATTATTTTCATATATTCATTCCTGGCGTTTGTTATTTATTGGTACCGGATTTCAACCCGGAATCCACAACACTGTAGAAATATTTTAAGGCATATCATTGAATTAAAATATAAATTCGTACGCGCAAACACACACACATAAATTTAACATGTTTCGCTTTTATTTGAGCTTCACCAGAAAATGAAATAATCATAAAATGATATTTAATTTTCTGATGAAGTCTAAATAAAAGAGAAAAATTAAATTTATAAACGTTTTCTATTTGTTCTTTTTCTTATTACACACACGCGCGCAAGCACATATACTGGATATAACAGCAAAATTGTCCATCCCCCAAAATATTTAATATCTAAAAAACCACTAAACTAATTGAGTTCAAAGTCCATTCAAGAACCTTCAAGAGAACGGTGAATAAGTTTAAAAAGTGTGAACAGTAGAGAGGAAAGCTGGATCAGGAGGTCACAACAGGAAGAGGGATCATCATTTCAACTTAGAGGTAAAAAGATCAATTAGAAAAGATCCAACTCAATTCATAAGACGTTTGGAACATGAGAGAGGAGTTTCAGCTATGACAGTTCAAAGAGCAGTAAAAAAAAACTTGAAAATTAAATCGTAAATGAAAAGTGTGAAGCATCTTGTTACTTCAGGAGAGAAAGAAGGTTAGAGACAGCAAAGATCATCTTGAATGAGTTGGAAAATGGTCATGAATTAATATATATATATATATATATATATATATATATATATGAACTTTATTTTAATACTTCTTGAGCTTCCGATCGTTAACTCTGATTGATGAACATCTCATTTTCGTTTATGATCGATTTCATCACGATTCTTCATCACGAGTTATAAAAGCCTTGGAAAATTCCAGTAAGATATCTTTAATCATTTCTAAGATACAACAGTTCAAAGCTTAATCTAACAAATGGAGAAATTTGTTTTTACACGATTTGGACAATTTTGCTGTTACACCCGGTTAGCAAACCTCTCTTTGACTTGCACGACTTTTCACAACAGCTCATGATATCAGAGTATTCCCAAAGAGGAGGCACATGGCTCCCAAGAAAGCATTCTCAGCTATGGCACCATCTTCATAAACGGCACATATCTTTTTTTTGCCGTTTTTAAATGTTTTTTTCTTTTCTTTTCGGAAATAAAAACCGAGACCAAATGATAAAAATGCATCAAATTTTCTTCCATTTTCACTTTGAGCGTAAAAGCATTTGAAATTCATAACCCACACTCGAATCGTATGGAACGGCCCGTTGGAACGCTGCCATTCGAATGGGCCGTTGGAATATCTAGAATATGTAAAGCTTTGTGCCTCCAAGAAAAGTTGCACATTATTAAACTTCTAAATAATAATAATCTATTAAATAATAGACACGTTAACGGTTTTTTGTAGGCATCATCAGATTTTTGGTTTGATTTATTAGATAAAAAAAATTTATATAACTTGTTTAACAAATAGCCCAATCATCAGATTCATAGTAGGAATTATTAACTACAAACATGCATACAACATAACACCCTTCATAATCCATAAATTAGTAGTTTAAATACCTTACATAAAAGATAACCCTTTATGAAGTCGTCAAAAAACAAACGTTACGAAAGTTTTTCTTTTTTTATATGCACAATTCCCTTTCATATTAAAATAAAATAAAATAAATAAATAAATCTCCATAGACAAGCAAACTAGACGATGGCTAATACATCTTCCGTTTCATTTATGACACCCCCACCTTTCTCCGACTTGACACCTTGAAAGTATCTCTATACCGCTACTTATTATAAACACCCTACACTCGCCTACCCAATTTAGACAATTCACCCTAGCTGTTACCATGGGGATTTTGATTTCAATTTTTAAAACAAGTAAATTTC